ATCACTTTTAACTTAGATAGACTTGGGTGACCTAGACGATCATGCAAAAGTTTAGGAACAAGAGAAACTAGATAAGACACCTATTAAGGTTCCAACATAAAACCAATTGACAATATGTGGAGTAACTTAACACGTATTTAAATCATAAGACATGACATGAGGTAGGCGATGTGAGATTTCCAACACGTCCCCTCCAACGAAGTCTGTCAAACTAGGCAAATGGTACCTTTGACCCAACGAAAGAGTAATTTTTGTTCCAAGACAATAACCAAAAAGAAGTTAGGTTTTAGCTCTAATACCAACTTAAGATAAAATAAAAGAGAGAAAATAGTTTTTAGAGGGCTTAATCACACCTCTAACATGATATCTTATTTATAATGATAAGAACAAATACACTGGGTAGATGGAAGGTCAAGGGGCAAAATTATGAGCTAAAGATATAAGTACAGAGATAGGTACAATTAATTAATGATTCCAACAACCAATTAATAATTTAAACACTCTTTCTTAAGTTGGAGCATACAGATTGTATGTACCAAGTTTTGAACAAATGAACTGAATCCGATGACCCTTTAATGATTTTGTTAACACATGCAAATTGATCATTAGATCCAATAAACTCAGTACAAATATCCTTAGTCACCAACTTTTTCCGAACGAAATGACAATCAATCTTAATGTGTATTGTTCTCTTATGGAATACTGGACATTAGAAGCAATGTGAAGTGTAACTTCATTATCACAGTACATTTTCATGGTCGAGAGATCTCACAAAATTTAAGCTCTTGAAGGAATTGTTTCACCCATATAAGTTCGCAAGTAATAGATGTCATTGTCCTATATTCAGCTTTGGTAGTTGATCGGATCACAACATTTTGTTTCTTACTTGACCTGCCTCTGTTGAACTATAGTTCCTTGGTGAAGGTCTCCATGATCACCTTGTACAAGATGGAGTAAAGTACCGACTGATAAAGTCAAAAAATGGAAACAGACTGATCTTCAGCTCTGATACTATGTTAAGGTTTCAACATAAAACCAATTGACAATATATAGAATACCCTAACAGGTATTTAAACCCTACCACAACATGAGACAAGCAATGTTGGACTTCCAACAATATCGAAGGACTTGGATTCAAATAGTACAAACAATGTGATTCATGTTCTTTTTCAATTAGACAACTCGTACCATGTTCCTGAATAACAAAAAAATTGGAAGTAAATGTTATAGAACAATTAAAAAAATGAGTCAGGTGACTTAGAGAGATCACGTTATAAAGACAATTAGGAATGAAAAAAACAAAATTTAAATATAGAGATGAGGTTAAAGGAACTTGGTCAACTCCTTGAGATTTTTCTTTGGATCCATTAGCTATAGTGATTAAGTGAGGAATTTTAGGATAAAACATGAAGAAAAACAAGGAATTATTACTAGATATATATGATCATAGATATCTGAATTAAGAATCCATGGATTCTGGCCTTCTATAGATTGAGAAATGCATGTTGTTGAAACATTTGGCATTGAAGAAGATTGACTCGGACTGCTAAACTTTCCAGATTTGAACTTCAAAAATTCTTGACACTACTCATAAAAAATCTTCATATCAGGCTTTTCAGATTTAGATGCATGGGCAATGATATTCTTATCAGGAAAATCGTGCAAGGAATAACAGTTTTCCTACGTGTGTCCCATCCTCTTACAATAGGAGCATTGATGATGAACTTTCGTACTACTACGTCCTCTTCGACTGTTACGTCCTCACACTCAACCACGAGGAGCTATCATAACAAAAGTTTTAACAATCTCCACCTGATTCTCATCTGTCATAAGATTAGGAACCCGAATCAACCTAGTGACAAAAATATTCATTGACGGAATCTGATCGCTAGCTAGGATTTGATCTCGCACATGATCAAAATCAGAATGCAGACTCCTCAAAATTAGAACCATATACAACTTATCGAGTTTGAAGTTTAATTCCTCTAAGGTATTTACCACAAGAAACCTTTTTAATTCTTCCACAACAGTCGTACCTTTTGTAATGTGAGTCATTATGTCGTGATTGGTACGCTTGAATGACCTTAGAAGCTCAAGAACTTCCGATTCCACATATTACCATAAGATTGCACAAAATTGGAAGTCTCTCACTAAGACCTTTCTGCAAGAGAAATAAAGTCTACATCATTCTCTAGATAGTTGTGATACCCCTGACCAAGAAACCATAGCTTAACTGATGCAAACTAGGATAAGTAATTTTCTCAGTTGAGCCTGACACTAGTTATGGTGGGAGTAGCAAAGAAGGTGAAGGCAATGGATGAAATCGTCTGAACCAGAGAAGATAAATAAAACCAAAGAATAGGAGTACTCACAGGACCTTTCACACAAAGTTCTCAAAAAAGAAAACTAAGGCACCATTGGACCCGGAGGACACTGACGAGTCAAACAAAGGTGATCGACCTTGATTCCGGGCACTAGAAGTCGGTGCGTGGGACACACGCACCTAAGAAGACACTCTGGGATGGCCGTGTGTGATGGTGCACTTCTCAAGGTACACAAAATCCCACCTTCGTCGGTCCAAACAAAGACGATGGCCGGCGGTGACAACGGCGAACAGTGGCCCACAGTGGCCGAAGATGATAGATGTGACCGAAAATTACTGTGAGATCTTACCCACTCTGATACCAACTTGAGAAAACTTATTTATGGTTTGATATAGTGACCAAAGACACTGTTACATTGTATTTATAGAAAAGGAGATACAATAGAGAGGATATGGGCGTAAGCCCAAATCCTTAACCCTAGCCTAAGGAACATACAAAAAGATAGATGAACAACATATCTTAATAATACCCTTTTTGAAGGCGAGAGTATCCAAAGAACACATTTAATTGCCTTTACACTTAGTTTATCAAGACTTAGAGAGACATTATATACAAAACATGTATAACCAAATACACATGGTAAAAATGATCATCTGAAAAGATAAGAAAATGGAGAATTTGATTAATAAAAAAAAAGTAGTGAGAATTGCATTTCCCCAATGATGAACAAAAGCATTAAAGTGCAGTCTTAATAAGGTACATATGTTTCTTTTCTATTATACCATTTTGTCGTGCGATGTGAGGACAAGTGAATTGATGTAAAATATCTTAGGAAGATAAGAAGGAAGAAAAAGTGACAGAAAAATATTATTTGACATTATCACTTTTGAGAATTTTAATTATCTTCCCAAATTAGTTCTTAATATCATTAAAAGAGGACACAAAGATGGATAAGAGTTCATATGTGTCTTTCATTAAGTAAACCCAAGTACATATAGAAAATTCATCAATGAAGGCCATAAAATACCGAAAACCATAAGAAAAGACATAACACGATCCTCGAACATTAGAATGAATATTGAAAAAAGGAAAATTACATCGAGTTTCAATCTGTTTAGGAAATGCACACCTAATATGTTTTCTTAATTGACAAGATTCACATTCTAAAACCCGAAGATGTTTGAGATTAGGAACCATCATTTTCAACTTAGATAAACTTGGGTGACCTAGATGATCATGCAAAAGTTTAGGAGCAGGAGTAGCAAGACTCGTACCATATTCTTGAATAATAAAAGAATTGGAATTAAAGGTTAAGGAACAATTCAAAGAGCGAGTCAAATGACTTAAAGAAATCAAGTTATAAAGGCAATTAGGAATGAAAAGAGCAAAATTTAAATTTAGAGGAGTTAAAAGAACTTGGTCAACTCCTTGAGATATCACTTTGGATCCATTAGCCACATTAATCAAGTGAGAAATTTTGGGATAGGACATGAAGAAAAATGCATAAGTATTACCAAAGATATGGTTAGAGGACCTGAATCAAGAATCCATGAGTTTTGACCTTCCATACATTGAGACATGCATGTTGTTGAAACACTTGCCATTAAAGAAAATTGACCTTGGTTGCTGAACTTTTTAAATTCGAACCACAAAAAATTCCTGATAATCTTTATCAGAAATCCTCATATCTGACTTTTCATATTTAAAAACATTGACAAAAGTAGTCTTGTAAGGAAAACCGTGCAAGGAATAATAACTTTCCTGTGTGTGTCCCTTTTTCTTGCAATAGGAACATTGAAAACGTACGTTCTATCACCACGTCCTCCCTGACTGTTGCGTCCTCCCTCTCGTCCATGACTTTCATCTTTCATAAGGTTGGTTGGGTACACGAATAAGTGTCTGACAAGGTTGTTCATTGAAGGAACCTAATTACCAGTTAAGATTTGATCATGCACATGATCAAAGTCAGCATGTTGGCTCCTCAAAATCAAAACCATATATAGTTTATTGAGTTTAGTATTAAACTCTTCTAAGCTACTTGTCACTAGAAGCCTTTTTAATTCTTTCATAGTAACCCTAGCTTTTGCAATGAGACATCATGTCATGATTGGTCTTCTTGAGCGACGTCACCCTTTGAGTTGAATCAAAGAGATGCTGAATATTATTAACGAAAATATCTTGTGCCTTTTTCCAAAAAGAAAAGCATGTTTTGAATGACATGAGGATCTCAAGAACTTCTGATTTCACATATTGCCATAATATTGCGCAAAATTGAAAATATATTTTCTTCCATTGGGACCTTTTGGAGGCAGAAATAGAGGTAGCTTTCTTTTCCAAATGTTCATGGTACCACTGATCTAGGAATCACAGTTCAACAGATGCAGATCAGGATAAATAGTTTTTTTTTTCAGTTGAGTCTTGCACTAGTGATGGTAGGCATGATTATCAATTTTGCGAGTTAACTCAGACGAGTTTACAAGTTGAGGTGATGGTTCACGAATTAACTCATGAGTAAACTCGTTTTTTAATAAACTCTCGTAAAGTTGGAGTTAACTTGGTCAAACTCAAACTTACTCGCGAGTTTATTATCAAGTCACGAGTTGACAAGATTTCTTCTGCTCCGACGTTCTACTATTCTCTCTCCTCCATGCAATGCCCCTCTCTCCTCCATGCGTGATGGGTCTCTCCTCTGCTCAACGCATCTCTCTCCTCTATGCGCAACGTGTCTCACTCTACGCACGACGCGTCTCCCTCCACCATGCAACTTGTCTCGCTCCTCCTCTGCACGCGACGCGTCTCGCTTCTTCATGCGTGATTGTCTCTCTCCTTCGTGGGATGCAACTCACTTCAAATATGTTAGTTTGACGCGTCTACTCCTTCTTTGTTGGTTCTAGTTTTTATTCCTTTTTTTTTTCTTTTTTTCAATTTTTTTATATGTTTTAAATTTCAATTTTTTAATTCTTTTTTAGCTTTTTTCCTTTAAAAAATTAAGTTTTTTAATTTTTTATGTTTATTTATATGAATTAGTTGATAAAATGATGAAATGTCAATAAGATTGATCTAATTTTTTGTTGAAGTAAAAATGAAAAAAATAAAATAGATAAAATTTTTAATAGAGGTTGCTTAGAATTGTTCAGTTCATCTTCGAGTTGACTTTTGTCTAAGATTCAAGCCTTTCTGTTAGATAAAATTAAATAGAAAATAATAAATTTAAATGTTAATTTAAATATTTTAATTTTGCATATATTTTAAGCAAATAATATTATGATTCTATATATTTATTATTTTCATTATAAGGAGTTAATGTAAGGATTTCAAAAAATTCATTTTAATTATAAATACTCAGTTGTATCATTTAATTTTTCAATATAATATTTAGCTTCTTCAATCTTTTAATTATCACTTTCTATTTAAAACACCTGCCTTCACCTTTGGAAAAGAATGGCATTTTTTTCATGGGGACAAGAGAAGCATAATCAGTTAGGGTTTGCATATTTATGTTTTATGTTTTAATTTTTCATTCTATTTCAAGCATAAAGGATGGAATGTTTGAGTCAGAATTTTAATTAAATTTGTCTTGAGTATTTGATGATATGGGCTCTCTGCTAGTTGTTTGAGGCCTTCTATGTCAAATGATATGTTGTGTTATGTTATGTTATGTTATGTAATGTTTTTTTTCTTCTTTATATTCTTAAAGGTCCATCGAATCTTCTCTATACCATATGTCGCTTCAATTTGGAATCAAATGATAAAACATTCAGATCTATGATGAACTTGTTCTTGAAGATGAAAGATGTAAGTTGTACAGATTCCATTTACATGCTTGTGTTCATCAGTCATTTTAATAATTGTGGCTGCATATTCCTTAACATATATACCATTCTATATTTTGAAAATCGTACCAGGTATTAAACAAGTTCAAGGTTTATTTGTTGGAATGATATTAATAAAATAATACAAATAGTTATGTAATATATAAAATAATATTATTAATTTTTTAATTCGTTGACCCTTTTTGAGCTGATTTTTGACCGGTTCGCCAGTTTTTGGACTGGTTCAACTGAAGACTAGTTTTGTGGTTCTAATAGACCAGACATTATTAGATTGGTTCACTCTCGCTGGTTCGGTCCGTATCTGACAACAAAGATAATGATAGTAACTTGGTTGATTAATATGAACGTAATCCCTCTATAAAACTTCTATTTTTTTTTTTTTTAGGTTTCATGATGCTGCTTGAAGGTGCATATAAGATGCTTGATGATTTAGAGGAATTATATTTGAAGCCAACATCACGGATGTACAATGTCATAATGGTTGAATGAGGCTCCATAATAAGAGGAGAACGTGTGGTGCTTTTCATCAATTTGCCCCTACATATGTCAAAGATTTAGCACTATATATATATATATATATATATATATATTGTGTGTATGTATTATACACATACGTTCAGAGAGAGAGAGAGAGAGAGAGAGAGAGGGGTGCAAGAAACTAAGATTTTTTTTATGAAAATATTAATGTGCGTATATTGAAAAAGCTAGACAGTAGATATATGTTCAATACCATCAACAAATGATAGATTCGTCTGAATCTAAGCACTGGGTTCCGTTCACGTTCCACCACCAAACGCACCACTGACAAACCTCAAATTTTATCTTCTCCTTCAACCTCGTTAATCTTTTCGGGTCAGTTGACTTCGATTAGACCAGACCGACCCAGAGAGGAACGCGCCCAGCCCACAAGGGCACCACCAGATCTTGTAGATGAACTTATTAAGAAAGAAAAAGAGTATATATATCATAGCTGACCACAGGGCTAGCCCATACACCCACTGCACGAGTAGAATACTACTTAGTCAAGTAGAAGGGCCAACCTGAGAGCGAATAATTAATTTAAATTTTAAAAAGCGTAAGAAATGTGATCACAATTTTTCTGAAAATGTATATTATTTTAATAAGAGCCATGAGATTGTCATTGACAATGTACACGTTTCATCCACTACAATCAGACCGGTCATATTATCTGCAGGAATGGAAGACAAACTGAAGTGTACTTGTTAATTTCCCTTCCTACTGAACAATGGCACTAAGAAAAAATTCTTATAAGCTATATAGGATCTCCTCCCCCTAAGAAAAGTAATAAAAAAGTATCTCACTTTACAGGGGCCCCTAGAAAATTTGACACTGGCATCATCATCTGGAGAAATTCTTCGACCTGAGATGGTTTGCATGGCCTAGCAATCCATGTCACCGTCATATATGCAGAAAGTTTTGTTGAATTGGCACACCAATAAATCAGTTGTTGAAGCAACGACATTCACTGGTGATTTACCAGTTATTACGTTAGTGGCATTCTCTAGGGGTTTATAATCTGGTGGTTAATCAGTTGTTTCAGAACTAGGTTCCTCTTGTGGTTCACCAGTTGTTTCAGAACACACTTTCTTTTGTTGTTTACGAGTGTCACTCTCTGGTAGTTTATCAGTAGTTGGAAAAAGTCCAGATGTTGGTGAATGGCCACTCTGTTTGCCGCCTTCCATTGGATATTCGACAGCAGACTCAGCTACGTCCCATCTCATTTTTTTCGTACTTTTTAATTTGAAACTGGCAAGACTTAACTAATAGACCAAGAGAGGTTCAGAGTTAGTTTGATCATTTTCTGAGGAGTGCACCATGAAATATGCAGGCAGTGAGGAAAGTTGAACTAGTGACGGACATTTATATAGAAGTAATTTTCAAATTTTACAACAAATAGTTAATGTTTTAGAAAAATTTTCAGAATTTACACATCATAGCTTAAAATATTGTCGATTTTTTTGTTTTGTTCTAGACTCTGGTTTAAAAGAAAAACACTTATCTAATACATAATATATGTGTACTATATATATATAGCAAGCATCTGATCAATATATAATTGAATGTTTAATGTTAATTATGTGCATAAGTGAGGTTGTGTCACCGCCACCAAAGGCAAAATCAATCTCACTAATAAGTAAAAACTTCTTACATAAACAGGGGTTGCCGCAATCATTGGACCACAAACTGAACCTCCAAAAATATTTCCATTATGATGAGTTAGTGAAAGGTTCAACCAGTTATGCACGTCATGTGCATCATCCTCACCAGGGTTGAAGGTATATTTTCCAGATAGTGACAAAATTCCAATGTGCCCCTGCGTGTACATCATACAAAGGTGAAACATTTGATTTATATATATATATATATATATATATATATATATATATATATATATATATATATATATATATATATATATATATATATATATATATATATATATATATATACAATAAACGAAGAAATAAAAAAGTAATGAAAAAGCTAACACATGTAGTTGTTTATACCTCCCACTTCACAATATCAGTACATGGAATGCGAAGGACAACACTTGATAAGGAACCCATAGCAGAAAGTACGCAAACAGTTTGACAGCATCTTTTAGCAAATGTTACTACCTTGTCTGCCACGTCCTGTGAGATATGCAAAAGCACAATAAATTCCTAATTAAGGATTCTAAAGTATTATAGAAACATGTAATTGTCCTCTTATCTTGCTCATATGTTACATATGGTGAGATAGAAGCATCTATATATAGCTACCGTAGATAACTTCTAGAGTTGTTAGTTATTGACTGAAAAGAAAGAAAACAAACCACAATAGGAGTAAACCTATACTCCAATGTTAATCAATTTTATTTTATTTTAATTCAGAATCAATATCAATAAAATATCTGTTAACAAATTAAAACAAAAAGTATATAAAGAATTTATACTTGTCTCTTTAATAATTAAGTATAATGACGAAATATATGATTACATGCAAATCTTCTTAACGTAGGCATGACCCATATTGGAAAAAAAAAAACTGTAAATACAAACCTAAAAATTGTTTGATCCTACCTCCCCAATATTCACAGTGATCTGGTGATGGACGAAGCTTGTTCCAGTCTCTGTTTGCGCATTTCCACCACCAAGCAATGAAGTTTTGAAATAAAATAGACTGATCAGATTCAAACTACCAAGCCAATAAACCACAATGTGATGTCGTAGTGGTGACTAACAACTACTAGGATTTATTTCAGCAATAGCCGCATAAGTTTATATGAGAGGTTTAATTATTCACAGTTCATACCACCTTGTGCCTTTTTCTTTATTATGAACATTAGCAACCAAACAAGAATGTGTCACTTTAAAAAATCCAATCAACCGGATGGAAAATGTTATGACAAAATTACAATATTTGACTTCTGCAGTAAGTTACAGGACTATATAGTTCAATAGAAATGCTAATAAGCACAAACAAAAAACAAAAGCAATGACTTTAATTACTTAGTCGTATTCACCTTCTTTGTAATATTCTTTCAAATGCAGAGCTATTAATTTGCATGCAATTCTTGCAAGACGCTTTTTACTGCTCATTGGAACATTCTGGGCTCGACAGAGTTTTACAAGAAGATAACAAAAATCCTTGAACAAATAACGTAAGCATCTAAGATATAATACCATGAATATTTGCAACCAAACATTTTACTTAAAAACCCAATCAACAAGGTTGAAAAACTTATAACAAGATGACAAGATTTGACTTCTTTATCAAACTACTTCAGTATATCCTCCAAGAAAAATGCTAATGAGCACAAAAAATAACGAAAACACTGATTAATTACTTTATCAAATTCACCTTCTTTGTAGTATTCTATAAAATGCAGACTCTTAATCTGCATGTAATTCTTGCAAGACCCTTTTAACTGCTCACCGGGCCAAAAGAGTTTTACAAGACGACAACACAAATAAATATATATATGTATCTATGTATAAAAGAAGCATAAAAAGGATAAATTCATGTCGTGAGATACTACCAACGTTAAAAGCTGGTGTATGTAAACGTTGGGCAGAATTTGGAGGACATCCTCGGGATCGGGCTCTTCTCCTTCGAGCGGAATGGGAAAGATTAAATGGTAGCCAACTCTTCTTCCCCACACTTTGTTCTGAATTCATTTCAGGGTTTTTGTTTTTGGATTGATAATCCCGTATTGCGAGTGCAGAAAGAAACTGCAATGTGTGTCTTCTGCTTATGTTCTGGAGTTTGTTTCTATTTCAGAATATAGGGGTTATTGATTCTGGTTTTATATATTTATAGCGATGTGATGTTGTTATGTGTAGAATACAAGGCATATATCGGATACGTTTTGAGAGTGCAAATGCTCAACTTGTTATCAGCGCAAATAACTTACATCACTATTCACCCAAAAAAAAATAACTATTGACCGAAGTGGTTTTAGTGTACTTTAGAATCGGATTCGTTTTCTTAATGTTGGAAACTGTTGCTGGGATGTTGCATTGATGGACAATTTTATTTATAAGAGTCTATTTGTTTATTTTTTTATGTTTTGGTGCAGGTGATTTGGCTAATGGGGTGTTCTACGTATATTTCTTCCTTTTCAATGGTAAGTGTTTGTTAAAATTTCTGTGAGAATACACGTTTATAGGAAGGGTGTCAAGTGAGAAATAAGAGCTCGAGAGGGTGATGGTTACTAAAATTTCAATGGGGGTACAATCCAACAGAAATAATATTTATCAGTTCTTTAAGATTCTTCACCACTACAACATTGTGTATCTTCAACGTCACAAAATCCCATGGAAGAGTTCAAAAGGAATAAGCAACAAGTATGGCTTGCCTGCACCTTGCCTTGGCCTGCTCAAGCCTCTCCCCCAATGTCTCCTCCTTGACAGCAGCCTTCACCATGGCTAAATCCATCTCCATCAACTTCAACACTCTAAACAGTTCTGTCACCATTCTCTCCTCCACTTTCCCTTCATCCATCAGAACCTCTGCCTCCTCTCTTGCCCTCTCAGCCACAATTTCCCCCACCTTTGAAAGCAGCTCTGTTGATCCATACTCCTTGTCCATGAGGGTCTCCAGCTTCTCCAAGAAGTCAGCTATGACATACCCAACTGGCACCTCTTGGTTGATCTCTTTGGTCCTCTTCCATCCAATTTCAAAATTTGGAGGATCAGGCTGCACAAGTTTCTTTCCCCTTCTTTCCCTCACTATCTCTGATCTCCTTCTCTTCTCAATGGGAAAAGACTCTGCACTGTTCACTGTGCTGAAGGAAGGGTCTGGGGTTAGAAACTCATCCTCAGGACTGGATTCTAGAGATGTGCATCTAATGGAAAAGTGCTTTCTGGGTTGGCTGTGAATGGAAAACTCTGATGGATTTGATGTTTTATGTGAGTTTATGTGAAGGTGAAGAGTAGGATATGTGAACAATGTTGAAGCCATGCCAATTTGGAAGTGAAGTGAAGGAAGAAGCATGGAGATAAGCTGTGGAATATGGTTGGTTTGGTATGCGTACATGCATAGATAGCTATCACTTTTCAGATAACACAGATAAATTACTGTCCAACAGGCAAATAATATCTAAAAACATCTAGTGACGAAGAAGTCAAGTGTAAAAAAACAAAACACCTTTATGTTATTATTACGTGTAGAACGGTTGAATCCAATAGTCAAATTTCTAGGAATTTACACATAAGCTGTGTCAAAAAGCTACGTTGATACAAAGGTTTTTAATACGGCAGTATGAAACCAAACCACATAGAAACCTTTTATATACCATAAAAAAAATAATAATCAATGATATAATAATATTTTTTAAAAATAAAAATCAAATTTTTAAAAATTAAATATAAAATTTAGTTTTGATAATTTTTAGATACATAAATACTTATTTGAAATTATAATATCATATAATACTTGTTTAAAAACGTAAAAAAAAAAACTTTTAATACTTATTTTATTTTATAATAAAAGTTAAGTTATAATATTGGTATATTATATTAAATTAATATTGATGAAATATTTATTTTCAAAACATTATTAGTACCTGCTATTTACATAATATTTTAACAAATTTATTTTTGTAGTAATTTTCCTGTTATTAGTATTAATAAGTATATTATAAATAAAAAATTATGTAACTTTCAATGTTTCAAAAAAAAAAACTGAGCACCACTAGTGAAACTTTGATTTTGTTTAAATGTAATTTATCTTTTTTTTTTCTAAAAATATAATATATAAATATTTTAGGTTAATTAATTTTTTTAGTGGTCTATTGGTGTTGTTTAACATTTAATAGACTGGTGAGATGGAAGAAGGAAGTGTTTGTGAAACATGGCTATAACTTCTTGTAAAACCACAATATTGTCCTTTTTCTATAATTGCTTTCATCTGTAGGGAAATTTAGGTGATGAAAAGTTATTAATCTATGTATCAATGTCCTAAAAGTGTTCCACTTAAGAGAGAAAAAAATCATAAAACTTGTTTTTTGTTTTTTTTTTTTAACTTAGTGGAAGACAATGTTTAATGAGATGATTATGTATCTTTTGATTATCTTTAAATACTTTTTTTTCTCTTTCATTTACAAGTTCCTAGAAAAACCTAGTCATTGAAGAGATATGGAAGTTTTTTTTTATATAAGCAAATAACATCAATTAATTAAACTGAGTACAAGGGGTACTCATATCCCAAAAATAGAGTACAATACAAAGTAGAGAAAAGTTATTAAAAAACACATTAAACAAAACAGATTCAAGGATTATTGTGCCAGTCTACAAGGTTACAAGACATTCCCAAACCAGCCGAAGAGATCCACTTCGAAGAATATAGACGAATAGAATCAAGCAATTTCAACCGATCCACAACGCCTTGTTTAAATATCACACAGTTCCGATGCAACCAAATGGACCAGATGACTGCAACCCAAATAATAACAAAGTACTGAGATCGCTTTTTACTCCTCCCTTGACCACACCAAACAAGAAAAAAAGACATCAAAGAAGAAGGCATAACAAAATTAACACCAAGCTAGCAAAAAACATCTATCCACGTACTATATGCCACCGGGCAGAAAACAAAAAGATGCATCGGATCTTCAACACATAAATCACACATAGGACACAAAACATAATCCAATTGCACACCACGCCCCTACAGAAGCAACCTACAGGGAACAGAATCCAAGAAAAACTGCCAAGAAAATACCAAGCATTTGATAGATACTTTACCTTTCCACAATCTGCACAACATCTCCTGAAGATTAACATCAAGAGTCGGAATATTAACCAAAAGAGTCAACAACCAACAATAAGCAGACTTAACATAATATACCCCTGAAGCATCAGCCAACCAACACCAGTGATCCTCTAGGTGAGGACGCAACATAAATCCATCCAGAATTTTCATCAAACTCGATACCGATGGTAACTCAAATGAGAAGGGAAGGCGGCACCAAGGAATGCCCCAAACCCAATTATCTCCAGACCAATGACCATTCTGCGCTATCATCGAAGAGGGATCGAGAGCAAAGGAATATAATCTGGGAAAAACCTCCTTTAGCCTAAAGCCACCCAGCTACCTATCCTCCCAAAATCTCGTCGAAGTACCATCCCCCACAGCCCGTAATATCTTCTCATTAACCCATTGTCCTCCTAATTGTAAAGTAGACACAAAATCTTGCCACCAACTAGAAGCACGTCGATCCACCAAACACACATTCAACCATGACGGGGTCAGGCCATATCGCGCCTGAATAACCTGCGCCCACAAAGCCCCTGGATATGATAAGCAACGCCAGATCCATTTACCAAGTAAAGCGTAATTAAATAACTTCACATCCTTAATTCCAAGCTCACCCACTCCCTTCGGTCGACACACCAACTCCCATCGAACCCAAGGGATCTTAGACAGATTCTTAACCCCATTCCACAAAAAATTCCTTTGAATAGAGATAATATTCTTCATCACAGACTTAGGGACTTTGAAAAAAGAGAGGAAGTGGATAGGAATAGAATTTAGCACCGAGTTAATAAGGGTGACACGACCACCAATTGAAACATACTTGTACTTCCAAGATGAAAGTCGACGTCGCATACTATCCAACACCGGCTGCCAAGTAGCTCGCAATCTAGGATTCGCTCCAAGGGGAAGCCCCAAATATTTCACCGGCAGTTGGCCCCTACGACAATGAAGAAAGTTTGCTGCAAGCTCCACAAAGGCATCGTCAGTATTCACTCCCACCACACAACTTTTATGGAAATTAATAGACATGTCTGATATAAGTTCAAACCCTCTTAACAACGCCTTAACTGTCCACAGGTTACATGCAGAAGCTTCCCCAATAATCAAAGTATCATCTGCAAACTGCAGGAGAGACACCACAGGCCACATCACCCCAACCTGCAAACCAGTAAACAACCCCCCTCTAGCGCCCTATCCATCATCAACCGCAGTCCTTCAGCTGCAATTAAGAATAAGAATGGGGCCAACGGGTCCCCCTGTTTCAAGCCCCTCCCAATACTAACCTTCGAGGTAGGACTACCATTCACAGAGCTGACAAGCTACCTCGACAAACACACCCCTCCATCCATCTAACCCACCTCTCATCAAAACCAAAACCACGCAACATATATAACAAATAGTCTCATTCAATCGAGTCATATGCCTTCTCATAGTCAATTTTAAGTACAAAGATACTCTTTTTATAACGTTTCGCAAAATCAATCGCCTCATTTGCAACCAAAAAACTATCAAGCATGCTACGACCTGGAACAAAAGCCGACTAACGGTGCGAAATAATCGAAGGGAGCACATCATGCAATCGATTCACCAACACCTTCGATAATATTTTGTACAGGCATCCAAGAAGAGAAATTGGCTGAAAATCAGACATGTGCTGAGGTCAAGAAACTTTAGGAACCAGCGTCACAAAATAAGACAATAGGGCCTTCGAAAATGTAAGATTATTATAAAAGTCAGTCAAAACTTGCAACACCTCAGTACGCATCAACCGCCAGAATTTCTTAACAAAGGCAAAATTAAACCCATCCGGGCCCGGACTTTTATCTCCATCACACTCTGCCAACATAGCACTTACTTCCTCCTCTGAAAATGGAGCCACAAGTGTCAAATTCTGTTGAGAAGAAATGCCAAATACACC